TAAGGATGAGCTGGGTTACAACACAAGGTGGCTAAAACATGACAGAATCATTTCAGCCAGGGCCCTGAGGTAAGCTGTGGATCCAGGCCTTTTACCCAGAAGTGTTTCCAGAGCTGGTGACATCAGTAGACCCAGCTGTTTGCACCCTCATCACTCCCCACTCCTGCCAGTAGCTCACCACCAAGCAAGGCAACCAGAGCAGTGGTTAAGTGTATTGACCTTGGACCAGTGCTGATAAAGCAACCAACACCCAACTGGTGGCCTTTGAGTCTGTCCTGCCGCATGGCGGCCTCACGTGTGTCATCGTGGAACTGTGCACCTTGGGTTGATGCTGGCTGACTGGTCAGAAGTAACTAGCTAGCTATCCCTCTGCTTATTTGATCCCCAGCTTTGTGGTTAGCTGTTGATATTAACCCATTGTAACGCTCAGGGGCTGTGACTAATATCTAGAATGTCCAAGAGATGCCGTCTCACAATACAGTGTAACCTTAGAGGGCAGAGAGGGTTGGGTAGTCTCAGTCGAAGCCTCTTCTTTCCCTCTTCAGATACCCAAAAAGGCAACGGAGACACAGGAGGGGTAAGTGCAGGCAAAAGGAGGGCTTGTCACAAAATGTCCAAACGTGCTCAGCCCCCATACCTCTTCCTCCAATAGAAATCAAAGGAGGCTTGCCAGGACTCCCCAGAGTAGCTGAGCTGGATTCTCATACCATGAAAAAGTGTTGTGGATCCAGGCACCCCCACCAGTACAAAAGCCCACTGCTCCCTGAGTATTCACAATGGTTTGTCCCAGACCGTTTCCATGTAGTTCTACATGCTTTGAATGACCTACCGCACTCTCCTGTCCACACATGTGCATGCATGCACACACCCTAAATGACTCACCTCTGCTTCCTTTTACTGAGATAAAGCCAGTCGACTGCAACTCATCTCAGGAATCATGATCTCAGACGAGCCAGCTTTGCCACCGAGCTGAGCGTCCCCCAAACTGAGTGTCCTGGGGAGAACAAAGGGTTAACCAACTCAGCTGCTAACTGAACAGTATGGGGTTTAAATTTGCACAAAGGCACTTTGATAGAAAGGCCTTGACCACTGACTTCTGGAAAACCAACCACCAAAAATTCCACAGAGCACAGTTCTACTTGGATACTCAAGGGATTGTCATGGGCTGGAATCCACTCCACCACGACTGGTTTTGTTAGTGTCCTGTGGAGCCCTGAGGGTGATATTTGGGTAAGCCTTGGCCTGGTACACCCAAGGTTGCTGGTGCAAACCCACCAGCCATTCCTCAGGAGAAAGACGAGACTATATGCTCCTCTATTGATCAACAGCCTTGGGGACCCTCAATAGGGTTGCTGTGGGTTGGACTGGACTCAAGGGCAGTGGTGGGCATACCCCATGGCCAGATGGGTGCACCCATGGCTGACTACACATCTTTCACTTTGGGCTGTGGCTGGTCTGAAGGGCCATGTGTGGATCTTCATGCTCTGAATGTCTGTTCAATGGAAACAAATGCCATATGATTCGCAACAGGTACCCCTTAGGTCTAGTTCCCTTCTGGTATGTGAACTGGTGCCGCAACCACCACCCATTAGTCGAGTCAGAAGCCTGCTTTTCTACCATGCAGTCTGTCACACTTTCTCCCTATTTTACCTCCTACTTCCTGGTTCCAAGACTCTTTGTCTCTCACCTGCACCATCTTGGGGAAATCCCACCTTTTTTTTTTTTTTCTAAATCATAGAAAGCCCTGTTTTCACTGGTGGTCTCTCAGAGATAAAAGTCTGGCCACATCACTTCGTACTCTCCCACGGCTGGATCCACAGCCCTGGAGGGGAGCATCTGCCCTGGCTGCCAAAATCCACTGGAGTGCTTTGAGTGAAATGTCCTCTCCCACCACTGGGATATGGACTGGTATGTCTCCAGATGTGATCTCTAAGCAGTTCTGTCTGTTGACCCCAGTATCCAGGTATGTGCTAGTTCCTAAGCACAACATGACATGGAAAGAGTTGGGAAGTCCTGTCCAGGCTCCTTAGCATGACTAAGAAGCCTCCTATGGTCCCCTGTGCTTCACACTTCTCCCTAGTTGCATCTCTCACTTGGCACTGTTTTACCCAGTCCCCAACCCGCCTTACCTCTGCAACCCCCCTTCCAGTTTCTGGCACAGCTATATATACACCCTCTACGGGAATATCTTCCCCACTCTTTCAGCCAGACTCCCTCCTAATCACCTTCAAGACTCATCATTAAATTCATGCTTGAGATCTCTAAATATAAATGGCACATCCTTCTCCCCCTAAGTCTTTCCAAAACTGTCTGGCTCAAAGAGAACCCCAGTAGAAGTGGGCCTTATGCACGCTTTTGTCATTCAGTCAAATTAAACCCCTTATCACAACCAGAAGGGTCCCCTTTCAGATGACTGGGGTCTTAGTTCGGGTACACTGTTATCCCCAGCCTCCATTTCGTCTTCCGGTGTATTCATCCTTGGCAACTTGAGAAGTGTCATTTGTCAGAATGAAGACCCTTGGTTCTGAATCGGCTCGTACTTCAGGATTTAGAATAAAAGACTATTTTTGCTTGTTCTCAAGGGTTCTGTGTGTAGGAGATAGCTAATTAAAATATCTTGGCGTCTGTCCCCAAAGGCAGTCTCTTTCTCCCACACCAAGAGCTTTCCAGCTCCCTCCCTTAACACTTGTCAGACCCAGATGAATGTGACACAAAAAGAAGCAAGTGAACAGGAAGTCAGCAAGAGAAGCCTCTTCCACCAATGGCTGCTCTTACCCTGAAACTTGATGTTGATCCCTGAGTTTAATTTATTCAAGGAAACTATATTGAATATCTGTCAAGCTATTTTTCTGAATTAGGATAACGTGAAATGGACATCTACATTATTCTCTATACATTTTTTTTGTCAGAAAGGTTTCTTCATATCAGAGTCTTCCAGTCAAAATAGCTTGTTTGTGTTTAATGGAAGCTGAGGATAGAGTCCCCCCCCCCACACTAGCCATTCTCATTCCCACTGGGAAGTGCCCTCCTTCCAGCTGATGGCCAGATGCTCACCAGGCCCTCCCTGAGGGAACAAGGGTGAGACCCATGACCAGGACAACTGGTGATTTGTAATGTGCCAGTTTCAACAGCAAGGCCTGTTTTCAATGCCAAAGATTCAACTTCCTTTTCTTTACTAGGTCAGGACTTTAAAACATCCCTATTTTCACACAGAGAGGGGAGAGAACTTAACTTACTGATTAGCAACCATGTGGCGAACATCCAAACTAGACTTGTTCTTTATCAGAGATGTTTGTTCTTCTTCAGATTCAATAGTCATAGCTCATAGCATCGGCTAAGGGGAACTTGGATACTTAGCGAGAGCAATATTATCTCAAATTTTGATCATATGTACACACATATATTTAATTCATATATATTTATGCACATATGTCTATGATTTTATATAATCTATAACAATTTGGCAGTCAACTTCCAAATGGTCATGAAAATGCCATGGAGTGTGATTTTATTCTGCAACGTAGGGGGTGTTGCTTTGAGCTAAACAGGCTTGGTGGCCACTGGAGAAACAGTATATATAGGTATCACAAAACAAACCTTAATTTCTAACAAGACTACATGTATTAAGTGGAGATGACCATTTTCATTCTAAAAGTGTTAATTCTGCATGGATTTGGCATTGAGGAACCACTCAAACTATCCCATGTAAATAGAGCAGGACCGTTATCACCTCTCACTTGGTCAATCTCCGTTACAGCCAATACACAGAGTCATTGCTGAGCTACCTCTTAGGACTAAAAATAAAATTCACAGGCTATTCAGCTGATATTTCCACTCTCTTCCATCGGCCAGCTGCCTCTTGGGCTCAGGCAGGTAAATAACCTTCTGCTTTCTCATTCCCCTAGGACGAGGGATGAGTAAAGATGTACATAGGGTCAAGCTAAACACTGAATAAGGTATGTTACACACAGTGGTAATGAATACACCCAGAGTGATGAGATCTGTTTATGCAGAAGAGCCTTCAGCATCTAGCCACCATGGCTGACCACGATAGAAGGTGTTGGGGAAAAGGCTGTCTAAAGGAGACTGTCTAGCCTTCTTGGGTAGGATGTTCCGTCTATGGAGGGATTATGAACATCAAATAACCATCCACGGCATCTCTAAAACTAATCCCCTTTTCACAAATTCAAATCCAAAAGGACCTGGGGAGGATTTAAAGCAAGTCTTCAGAAAGCCATTCGTTCCTCAGAAGAAACGAACCAGAAGGGATCAGCTGGCGTGCTTACTCCTCCTTTCAGGATACTAGGAGGAAGCAGTGAGCCGACAAGTGGGGAAGTGTTTACAGATTGCTGCCCAAGATCAACAGTTGGCCAGTGTCGGGTGTCCAGGTCTCTGGATTGTCAACTCTGCTCATTACATTATATAGTCTTTTTCTGTCACCGACGAGCAAAGCACAGCCCCAAGTGGTTAAGTGATCTGAACAAGATCACACCTCAGACCTAGATGGTTAAGGACAAGATCACAGCTCAGACCTAAAACCCCAGTCTCCAAAATCAAGGTTGTTTTCCCAAGTGCAGCACTGAAACATTACCCTGGCCGCTTGAGCCCCAGACACTTGGAGAGTTACAACTGACATACAAAACGGACATACCTGTCTACAGCCCATCACTACTGAACATTCTACCTGACTCCTTTTCCTCACGTCATGAGAGGTGTGCCGGCGGAAACAATACAGATGCATCTTGTCACTGTCATGAGCATATTTAAAAGAAACACAAATGCCTTCAAGCAGTGGTAATGTGTTGACTGTCAAAATATTTTAGGTTTGGATGCCATCTATTAATAAGACTTTATAACAATGAAGTATTGTAGGGTATTTAAACTCCCTCTAAATAAACCCATTAAAAAAAATAGCATGCTATTTATCATTTGACTTACCTGAAGTTGTTATCACTTATTTATCAAGGGTAACACAATATCTCTTAAAGGAAACAAATGTATTGTTTTACATCTTAGGACCTTTATTAGTTCAATGCAGGACATTTTATTTTCAGACATGGGGGCGTTTGCTTTCACATAGTCAATTAAAAACAAAAGTCAGGTAAATCGCACGGCGACTAGAAATTACCTATTGATGAATGAGAGCAAATGTGTGGACCACTCTTTGTTTGGATTGATGGTAAATCAACTGGTCATTAAAGGCTTTTCCCAGCAATTATGACAGATTAACAGTTTCCAAATAACGTTGGACTTAGAACCTTTTAGAAAAGGTGAAAGCCTCTCACTTCATCTGTGGAATCGACGACGACGCAGAATGGAAATGACATTCAGCAACTCACTGGAGGTGCTCATCTTAGCCTGCTGTGAGATGCCCAACAGCGGGGATTTCTTCATCTCCTGTGCAAAAAAATGTCTCTAGATATCTGCCCATGCTCAATCAAATTAGCATGGCGTCCAGACATGCCTTAATCCCCATGCAGGACACCTAAGTGACCACATCCATCAAGCACACATATATAATTAGGAGACTCAGAACGATGCAGAGATGGCAAGCAATCACTTGATTCTGTGGTTATGCCCTAGTGACAACTCTGTATTTCTTGGCCACTAGCCAATCAGTTGGGGAAATAATATCAGACCATGACCCAATAAAGTCTAGCAGCCTCTCCTTCGCCTTGCATGCAGCATTAGGGCCTGTCACCAATCACCAGCCATCTCTCAGGCACACATTCCATTCTTTAGAAACATGAAAAGCCCCTTGATAAATTTGCCCTCCTCCAGAGAACCGCACTTCTCATTCAACTGAAAATCCTGACTCAAAGCTGAAATGAATTCCGGCAGGCAATTTAGACGTCTTAGGAAACATCCTTAAACAAATGGCAAATGTATGCGGTGTCAAAGCCATCCAATATGTTTGCATGCGACCTTATTAAATTAAAAACACCTGGTTTATTTGTACAATTTATCCAATGGCTTACAGATTAGGATCTTAGGAACCATACAATGCCTTATAGCAAAAAATATACATATAATAATCCACCTATAGCTTATATAAATGATGAAATGTTTTTGTATATATCTATATATATGTACACATATATATTCTGGTTGCGTGCCCTTTGCAGAGTTAACGCACAAATACTGCAGTCCTTCCTTGGCTCTTCCCCTTCAGTGTCTGTCCAGGACAGCAGATTTCAAAGTCTCATGAACCGGAACAGAGGTCACCGCTGGGGACAAAGGACTGGTTTGATGCACCTCCCCTTGTGAAGGACCAAGTTTGCTGGGCAGTGGCACCCTGCGATGCATGGCTTATTGCATGGCCCGATCTCATTCCAGTTGTCACAGGTCTTGATGCATCCTGGGCCACAAGTGTCGTACACAGCACCGTGCTTACACTGAGTGGCTGAAAAAGAGGAAGAGACGGCACGTGACCTGGAGAAATGGCTACATTTGTTTACTTCCAGTCAGATGTGCATTTTGACAAGGGAATAACAAACAGCCAACGTTCCCCAAATACTCTGGGGCTCATTGGCTTCCTACGAAACAGCGTCAAAGGACCACCTGCTGCGTCAGTGAACGACAAATAAAACAAAGAAGCTTCATTTTCCTAGAGAGGAAAATTATAAATTAGTAAGGCTCCCAGAGTATCTGTAAGATTGCTCAGTTATTGAGAAACGTCTAAAAATCAACTCTTAATAGACCCACACTGGCTATTGAGCTGTGACCGACAGGAGTGTTTCAAGTAACCACATCAATATTCACATAGATACAATTACACGCACAAAGAAAAACCTCCTGGAGATATTGGAAGGGCTAGTTTGATCTGCTTGAGGCAAATGAGCGCAAGAGTAGAGATAGAAAAAAATAGAGCAAGCTCAGGGAAATCGAGAGAGGACGGGAGGTGGGAGTGCACCAAAACGGGCTGGGTCAGAGAGAGTCAGGGTGATGGGATAGCCAAGTCAGAGCAATTTATTTTCTCGGGGAACGTAAAACTCAAGTTTTGACATTATCCAGAGAGTTTCTGAAAGTGCGAGAAGAGTTTTCAGAAAGATAATGCACATTTTCTAGAAGTTTTATGACACACAGCCCTTCCCAACCAAGTTATTTCCAGTGACAATTACAGGAGCTGCTGCAAGTACACCTTCCCCGCCGACCTCTCACAATTTCTCATCTACAGGTCGGATACTGGGATACTGGCATAGGTAGGAATTTGAAGCAAGGACTCTCTCAGAGCACCATAAACAATCCAGCTTTGGTTTATGGTTGCTCCATATTCCAGGACTCTCAATGGAAGACAACCAACCCAAACAGCTCGACTGTCGTTTATGCAGTTGCAGAGGAAAACCTGCAGATGAATGGGCACAACTGAAAAACTGGACCGATTTTCTTAAGCAAGTGGGCCTTGTTTTAAGAAGAGCTGGTGGCGTTATGGGATAAGCTTTGGGCAGCTAACCACAGGTTGGGATTTCGAAGCCACCAGCTGCTCTGTAGCTGATAAAACAGACTGTTCACGTAATGAGTGTGAGTCTCAGAGATCGTGTAAAGGACTGCTGTCAGTCAGACTCTACTCGATGACAGTGGATTGGACCTCACTTTGAGTCTTTTACATTACCTATCTAGAGCTACTACAGAACGTCCCTGTTTGACCTTACTTGACTAAGAGGAAGCTAACAAGAACCTTTCCAGTGCACTCAGGGAAGGCTCTCTATCACACCAGTTAAAAACAAATGGGGAAAGAGGTGTCCTACTTAGAGCGAGCGCAACTACCTTTCCCAAGTTCTTATTTTTGTTGTCAGAAAACTGAGCTTCAGGAAAGATGGTATTTTAAAAATCAACCGAATGGAGTCCACTTTACATTTGGCTCTATAATGAACACTGTCCCACATGGAGCGCTAGCTTGCAATATTCGGCTCCGGTACAGGTATTGGATGAACACATTGGTCCGGAGCAAGTGCAGCCACTGATGCTCTTCAGATGGGAGGATGGGAGGGAGACTTCATCTCCAGTCATTTGGACTGGAGGGAGCAGACCTTGGAGAAGGACATTAGACTTGTTAAAGAAAGAAAATTTAAAACCAACAATAGGAAACTCACTGCCATTCGGTGCGTTCAACTCATAGTGATCCTATAAGACAGAGTATAATCGGCCCTGTGGATTTCAGAGGCTATAAATCTTTATAGGAGCAGGAAGGCTCATCGTTTTCCCAAGGTGCTTGTGGCTTTGAACGGCTGACCTTGCAGTTAGCAGTCCAATATGTCATCCACCGCACCACCCGAACTCCTTGATAAAGTAGAGGGTCAACAACAACAAGAGAAAGACCCCAATGAGATGGATGGACGCGGCGGCCATAACAAGACATTCCAACTTCACAACACTAGTGAGGCCAGCATCGAAAGGGACAGTGGTTGCTCTGCGGTAAAGAGGTAGGGCTGTTCTTAGCAAGGACCAGCTCCATGCCACCCAATAACAACAACCGGGTATCTCATCCTCCACTGTATAAGGTGAGGTATATGACATCGCCTATTTTGAACAGAGATGCTTTGGGAGGAAGGATAAATGGCAGGGTCATTTGTCTGAGATACCAACAGGGGGATGACAGGATGGTAGAAAATTGCCAGTCAATTCTATTGAAAGCATTAGCTGTAACCTTATTGATCCCTATGTCTAACTCACTCACTCACTTTAGGAGGTGTGCCTTTAGAAGGTAACTTTCTATCCCATGTTCTCTACCTCTTTTCTTGAGATTTCTTCTTTTTACACAGCACATGTTGACATCACTTTTCCAGTCAAATTTATTTGTCTTTGTGCTCCATTTCCAATTCAACCGTGCCTCTTAATCAGAAATACTCATGCGGATGTTCTGAGGCTTTTAAAAAAGATACATGTTCCTCATCACCATTTCCAGAGATCTTTTGCTCTCGATCGGCAGCAGGGACTGGGTTATTGTGGTTAGTTGTCATGGAGTTGGCGCTGAGTCTATGTCCACCTCCTGCACAACAGAACAATCCATCACCTGATTGTACATCATCTTCAGAATCATTGGTTGGCGTGAGTCCATTGTTCAGTCACTGTGTTTTCTTCTTGTTCAGTGCCTTCCAACCTCTTTTCCCACTGTATTGGACTTCTGTTGTGATCCGTGGGGATGCCATTGGCTGATTTTCGTAAATAGATAACCAAGCCTTTCTTCCGAGTGTGGTTTCATCTGGAAGTGGTGACAGCCTCCACCATCATAGCAGCATGGGAGATTCCACAGTATGACACATTGACAAGAGTGTGGGGGGAGAGTGGCCAGCTCCAGAATTAGAACGCACCAGGGGGCACTATGACAGCCACCTCCAATTGAAGAGAGGTGAGCTGCTGCTGAGGACCAAGCTGCTCAGAGCCTTATTATCGCCACTGACCTGAAGTTACGGCACAGTGCCAAGCCAAGGGGAGCGACTCAATCAGTGCTTGTTGGATGATGGTTTACTCTTAGTGACGTTCAATTCATCATCCCATGCCTCAGGGTTGATTCCATTCGGCTGGCCTTGAGTTTCTTCTCTACTTTGCTGCTCCCATAATGCCTCTTTCATGTCGCCTGACTCACTCTGTACTTCACTCTCCTGGAAACTGTGCAAAGATCCCTTCCAGTATGAGCACCTTCCTGCAGAGTGTCCTCTCGACACCTGCCTTCTTGCCTTTGCCGTCCTCCCTTAAAGACACTACACTCTTTAATGCTCTTCTGGGGCTTGCTGCCATCCGACTAGGAGGCACTGTGGTCAGTCTGCAGGCAGAAAGTAGAATGTAGGAACTGAAGAACCACAAGACACAAAAGCACTTCTTTTCTAGTGCTTTTTGTTTATCTTACAGGTACCATCTTCACTGCAATTTAAATTGAATCAAGAAGCACACATACCTACGTGCCAGGCAGTGTTTAGGCCTGGGGATTTCACATAAATTGGATATCATCTCTAATTGCCATTTGCAAGGACCTGGGCTAATAGCCAAATAAGTAAGGCTGCCATGTAAATAAAGTCCTATGAAAACGTTAGGCTGGCCTTCTTAAACAGTAAGAGCAAAGCACAGTGAAGGAGCAGAAGGGAGAGCCATCAGTCCACCATTACGGGAGGAGACCCAGGCATCAAGGGAGACTTGAGAAAATAAAGTCCATTGAGGTCTTAAAAGGAGTCCCTTGGTGGTACAAATGGTTAATTCTGTTGACTGCTAACCAAAAGATTAGCGGTTCAAACTCGCCCAGAGGTACCTCAAAAGAAAGATGTGATGATTTATTTGGTTAAAAAAAAAAAAAAGCAGCCATTGAAAACTGTGTGGGAAAACCCTGCGCCAGGAGTTGGGGTTGACTTGACAACAATTGATTTTAAGCTTTGAAAGGTGAGTCAGACAATGGCAGGCAGAGCTTCCCAGCCAGAGGGTGCAGAGTGAGCCAGGGCCAGGCTGGAGCACAGCGAGGTTCTCGTGTTCTTTCCAGGGAACTTAAGGAAGAATGGTCTGAGAAAAAGAGAAGTCAGCAGGGACCAGAGACCATGAAACCTAAACAAGGGGGACCCCTGGAACATTTGCAAGCCAGAGAGGGATGCAAGCAGATCTGCCCTCCGTCTGGTACAACGTGCACATGTTCACATGTTCCTAGAGAGCTAACACTGACTCAAAGCCTGGTTTACCCTTCCGAGAATCCTCCTACTCCTCCTGCTTTTTTTTTTTTTTTTAAACACAAACATATGGGAAACTACCCAGGTTTATGGGATAAGCTTTGGGCAGCTAACCACAGGTTGGGATTTCGAAGCCACCAGCTGCTCTGTAGCTGATAAAACAGACTGTTCACGTAATGAGTGTGAGTCTCAGAGATCGTGTAAAGGACTGCTGTCAGTCAGACTCTACTCGATGACAGTGGATTGGACCTCACTTTGAGTCTTTTACATTACCTATCTAGAGCTACTACAGAACGTCCCTGTTTGACCTTACTTGACTAAGAGGAAGCTAACAAGAACCTTTCCAGTGCACTCAGGGAAGGCTCTCTATCACACCAGTTAAAAACAAATGGGGAAAGAGGTGTCCTACTTAGAGCGAGCGCAACTACCTTTCCCAAGTTCTTATTTTTGTTGTCAGAAAACTGAGCTTCAGGAAAGATGGTATTTTAAAAATCAACCGAATGGAGTCCACTTTACATTTGGCTCTATAATGAACACTGTCCCACATGGAGCGCTAGCTTGCAATATTCGGCTCCGGTACAGGTATTGGATGAACACATTGGTCCGGAGCAAGTGCAGCCACTGATGCTCTTCAGATGGGAGGATGGGAGGGAGACTTCATCTCCAGTCATTTGGACTGGAGGGAGCAGACCTTGGAGAAGGACATTAGACTTGTTAAAGAAAGAAAATTTAAAACCAACAATAGGAAACTCAC